CGGTCATCTAGACGCTGCAAACAAAAAAACGCGATCGAAATGAAAAGTGGCTAACTATTGGTAGTTCGCCCCAATTAAAGCGTCAGCCTTGAACTAGTGAGTTACGTTTACCTAGTAATAAGCCCTGGTGTGACACAAGTGTTTACCTAAGCGACTGAATTTAGCTCTGAACTTATCTACCGCAAACATATACGCATAAGTAATAGTACACTAGACACCGTAGCAAACCAGTTTACCGTGCGACTCAATGCGAACATGTTCCGCATCCACTTGACGATGAGATAGTGAAGAGACTTCTCCTTCACCATTCGGTATGCATGATCAACACCACTAAATAGTTGGACTGAAATATGTACGATTCGGTTATTGAGTTGCATAGCAGCCTCAGGCGATATATTTCGTACACGCGACGTTATCATTAGCGTGGAGGAAATCCTCGAGTAGTGGTCGACATATGCATCGATAAACCGCCTCTGAAATGCACAAATTTGGGGATACACATGGTGCATTAGAACTAAAAAGATGGGCAGATTTATACTGACCTTAAAATCATTGATCGGAAGTAGACCAATGAGCAGAGTACTCAAGCTCTCAGGAAAACGAAGCTTAACAATCATGAATAGGAAAGATTCGAGCAGAGTCGTGTGTACCAAGTCTTGCGCGATATCACCATCTTCATCATCTAGAGCGTAGAGTACAGTATCACTTCATGCACCTTCCCACATTTATCAAAGACAGTGAAACAAAATGCGGACAAACCTCTTAGCGAAAACCGAGGTTTGGACGCCACGCTCGCCTTGTACGACCGGCAGGCCTCTGTGCAGGCACACTCTTAAAATAGGTTTCAGGATGAACGTTAGCCCCCAAGTTACTTCACCGAGGAGAACAGACTAGAACTTAAGTGTACCATTAATCGAGTATCCGAGCCAGCATTTTAACGCTTGGCATCAGTATGTATTGAAGAGCTTAAATTTTACTATGGAAAGTAGAATGGCAAATACAGCAGGTGTCATGCAAAAAATAACCTACCTCTCATCAATTCTTGATACACCTGGGTATCAATCATTACACCGACCATCAGCTGTTGCGTAACCCAACCACACGCATGGAGCCGATGAAGGAAGTAGAGCATAGGCGCCTCTGCTTCGTTGAGAGCTGGTTCTTCAACTTTGCAGTGATCCCAAAACCAGAACATGAGAGCCTTCATAACATTGGGTAGGAGAAACTCCAGCACAGCAGTCAATTCCTTCGGTGGACAGGGTCGATTCGCAACTTTGTCCGGACCGTGAAAGCGGCAATTTCTAGATTTC